GTTCTGCTTAGAGTTCTTTCTTGGGACAGTTCCTCTTTCCAATAAACATAGTCCTTAAGTTAATTTAACATTATTGATCTATTAAAATGTCTTTAAATCACCATCCACATCCAGTACACCCCAAGGAAGATTTAATAGATCTAGACAGTTGAGTTAGCTTAAAATTAAAATTTGGAATTATTTATCAAATTAATAGGAACAACGTTGTCGTTTCTATTAGAAATGAATTAACGGGTCTAACCTTCGTTCCATAAATTCAACTGGACATTTTATTATAATGCTTTTATTCGAGCATTAGTCAATCTAGTTTAGAGCAAGGAAACAAGCTAGTTTACATTTATTCATCCTTTTAAGGGTTAAAAGTTAAATATACTTGGACTCTATACTTCTACTTTGTACTTAAATTTCAATTGTCTCAAAACCATCACCAGACTTCGAATATTATTTCTCGTCCATACCTAAATTTTATGTACATGGCACTTAACGGTGTTATATCATAAGGAAAATTGCATATTTAGTCCGCAATACAGCTTATTAATTATCCCAATTTTTATAGTAGCATTTTAAAGAATATAAAAGAGTTACATGTCATCTTCTCTGTTCAACTCCCCTCTCATCCAAAGCACTGCCATCGCTCAGCCACCACCAGCCCCGTGGCCACCATTGTTGTTGTCGCCGCCACCATTTTTGGACATTGAAAGCAGGGGCAGCCCATATGGGGTCAAGTGACCCCCCAAAAAATTTTGATTTTTTCTTCTTCAAAATTTATGTAGTTGCTGAAATTCTTGTCCAAACCTTAACTTTATAGATTTAATACATTTTACTTGACACTTTTGACTGTTGCTTGTTATATTTGCTTTTACAATTGAGAGGGGCGTTCATAAATGGAGTTTGATAATGTGTCATATTTTATTGAAGAATCTAGATTTTGTGTATCTTGCACGCCTTTCATTTTACAATTTGGTTGACGTCATTTGGGTCATGTTACTGCAAAGTTTGTAAATGGGAAACCAAGGCAGATTGATAGCAAATGGAACATGCTCTACTCAAATGGATTGTATTACACCACAAACAAGTCCTCCCAACAAAATTATTATACCACAACACTTCATCAAACCAGCACAAAATCAACAAGAAATGATATTTATAAGCCAACACAAATCACCACAAATTCAGAAAATTAAACCAGCACTATGTGTTAATGCTTTAGACTGACTGAATTCATCAGAAATCTCAGATACACTACTTGCTTTTCAACATAAAAAACGACCTAAAAAATACCATGCTACTGACTTTAGAAACAAGATAATACCAATGTCAACATCCAAAATAGCCTAAAAATCACCATGCTACAATACAATTTAATTTTCAGGCTGAATTCAAAAAAATAAATAAAATAAATTCAGGCTGAACATAATGTTTCAACTTCAAAAAATTTCACATAATGTTTCAATTTGCTCATGTCCCAGCAAGCCTCCTAGCATCTGCTCTTGATCTGGAAGACTGAGGCAGACATAGGTGTAAATTGAACATCCATTTGTGAAGTTCGATTTGTTCAGTCACCACTAATGTCACATTTTTTGCGAAGAGCATATCCTCTTCACCAAATGATACGTCGCTATCTGAATCATTGAAGTTTGGGTCATCCTTCTATCTGTCACAAAAACCAGGAAATTTAGGATTGCCCAAAAAGTGTGAAATATGAACTCTTCTGGCCACGATACAAAAATTATACTTCTAAACATGTGAATTATGAACTCATCTGGTGACTTTACAAAAATACGCTTCTAAACATTTATAAGTTTTGCTTGTATTGTATTCATGGTATGAAAAAACCCTGTTGAGGCCCGCCTCACTGTAAAGCGTAACTTCTGTGCCTCGAGGCTCAATCNCCCTGTTGAGGCCCGCCTCACTGTAAAGCGTAACTTCTGTGCCTCGAGGCTCAATCTGTGAGGCAAAAAAAATGAGGCGCACGCCTCTACATCTGAGGCAAAAAAAATGAGGCGTGCCTCATTTGAAGTATTTTTTTCAGGTTTTTGAAAAGGAATTAAAAAAGACCCTCTTTAAAAAAGAGAATGGCCCATTTAAAAAGATATTTTGAGCCAAACAAAATATTAAAGTATCTAGAATACCAAAAGGCAGCCAGAAATCCTTCTACACGGCAGACAGAAATCTTTCTAGATGGCCAGAACTACACAGTAGTCAGAAATCTTCCCAAAACTAAAGGGCGGCCAGAAAACTTATCTTCAATCATTCGCTTAAAAGAGGTCCTCAAGTGCTGCTTCTATGTCTCTTTTCTCCTTTGCTTCTGCCTTCTTCTAGTAACTTAGAATTTAAAATTGTTTCACTAGACTTTGCTTGGCTTTTTTCTTGTTCAGTGCATCGATTCCAGATGGCACCTGTTTTGTTTGTGGTGAGGCTTACGCCTCGCCTCATAACAAAAAAATGCCTCAATACCCGTTTACGTTTTTTCAAACTATGATTGTATTGATGAAATAACTGAAATGGGCACCTTAAGGATTTATCATAAACTTCGAGCTTCGATTGTTGTTTGCCGAATCATAATCTGTAAACTAATGCATACTTTGAAATGATTAAACAACCTAAAATCTTAGCATGTGTCCAGATTACCGTGAAATCCATTCTTTGAAACCAACAATACCGTGAAACCCATTCTTTGAAACAACAAAATAGTTTGGAATTTACCTTGATGTGGATGTGCTCCCTCCATGTGTGATTCTTCAGAAGTTAAAGCTTCTTGTTGAGAGTGGGACCTTTGCTATTGATTGAATTTTGGTTTGGGGGTTAGGGCTCCCCGATTTGGGAGATGCAATTAGCCTGGAGAGTTTTGGTTTTGGTTTCAATCTCTCACTTTTAGTTTCTTATGGTTAAGGCGTGCTTGGACTGAGTAAAAAATAATGTCGCATTTCATTTATGAGTTGAACTGATTAAACCTGCCACATGTGTAATCGTTATTCACGTAAGCCATGTTAATTAATAGAAGTTAGTCGGTGAGTGATGAAGTGTAACTTTATAAAGTCAAGTCAAAGTTCAGTGAGTAAAACATGACGTTATGCTAAGGGCCTGCTTGGTATTGATTTTCCAATTCATTTTCAGACCGTTGCAACACATTTCAGCCGAAATCTTTGACACTTTCTTTCGCAGTGGGTCCCATGAATTTGAATAAAACGGTAAAAAAATCACTACAAATCCGGAAAGAAGCAGAAACAGATAGGCACTAAGTTTGCTGAGTATTCAAACGATTGACTTGACTATAGCTAACATAAATACCGACCCATTCACTTGTCATTACCACTTGCAAGTAAACCCTCTTCTTCTTCTTCTTCTTCTTCTTCTTCTTCTTCTTCTATTAGGGTTTAGCAAATCATCTTCCACGTACAACTGATTTTAGCACGAATGTATATATAATTTACAGCAATCTGAACTTTCTCTCTATTTTGGTAGTTAAGTCGTAGAAAATGCGAAGAACAACGTCATGTGAGGCTGGTTTAGTCTCTGGTAACAGAACGAGGGTTTTGCACTTCCACATTGAAGTATAGCAATGATAAAATCGCAGTTTCAATAGTGTTTGACAGACTCCCCGTTGTCACCCCCAAAATCGACCATGTTGTTTATACTTTTCAAAAGTTCTCGTAAGCATTTTTTCTTTGTTCATATGTTTCTCTTTAATATTTTTCCATTTCGAATTACAAAATGCAAATTGTAGAAATGGTGAAAGTGAACCCAGCTTCTGTTTGTGATCTTGTTCCATTTTTTTCCCTTTGTTTTCTATGTTAAAAAAAAAGGAGGAAATGGATTTTGACAGCATTAATGTGATCTTATTCCATTATGTAGAAATGTGATCTTCCACTAATATTATGTTGTTTTTAAATAAAATTGTACTTTAATTTTACAGAAAGTCTGCTCTGCCCTGATTATTGAAAGTATGGTTTTTGTTTTTTCAATGTGAAATTAGAGTGTGGTCTTTCCCCTTTCGTTTGGGGAATTAAGAATGCATTATGTTTCGTTTCCAGTGCGAGTTCAAATAATGTGAGTATCGTGGTATGTTTTCTGTTTGTTCTGAGATTGTCTGGCTATGAGGTCTTCTAGCGGAGCTTGGTTGCTTTCAGCTTACACCTACTCCTCTTTATGCTGACTATAACGTGATTCATGCAACAAGTGTACGCTGTTAAGTTCTGTAATATAGTAATGGAGTTAGAGCGTCAAACTTACATGGATTGTAATTTCAAATTCCTACTAAGTACTATAATTATATAGTCTCTATTTTATCTAGATGAATGAATGTTATAATAAATGTTTTTAAACTAATATGGTGATGAATTCAACAAATAAATGCAAGCTGTAAGAATAATCAAGTGAGAAAGTCTAGGGGTTATAATGTCACATAACTATTAAATATAATTCTCAATTATATAATTATTTATAATCAATTTTCCAAAGTTTATAAGCAAGAACACTAACGTAATTTTACTTCATATCTCGAGTGCCGAGTAAAAACTATTCATATATTTCAATTTCAATATCTCTATTCCGAATTAAAATATAAAATTTATCAAGTTCGTGGTGCTTAAATGGAACATGCTTCAAAAGAATTATATCTTCTCTCGAAACCTATAATTTCCTATGTTGTGTTATTGTTATGATCACGCCTAAACTCTCCTCTCTCGAGTGCCGAAATTGACTAGCATCAAATCATTCAATTAGTGGCCAATTAATTGATATCTCTATTCCGAATTAAAATATAGAATTTATCAAGTTCGTGGTTCTTAAATGGAACATGCTTCAAAAGAATTATATCTTCTCTCGAAACTTATAATTTCCTATGTTGTGTTATTCTTATGATCACGCCTAAACTCTCTTCTCTCGAGTGCCGAAATTGACTAGTATCAAATCATTCAATTAGTAGCTAGTTAATTGATAGCATTAAAATCGTAACATATGCAGAAAATTTAATAGAAATAACTAAAATTAATCAATCCATATTCTCAAGTTTTTGGATACAATCAAACCCTAAATAATGAATTTAGCTCATGATGTAATCTATGAAAATCCTAAAATTCATATAAAAAGATATGGGAAAGAGAATAGGAAAACTATGATGTAGATCTTCAATTTCCTCACTTGTTCTTCTTTGTCTTGTTCTTAAATCTTTTGATATTTTTCTTCCTTGCCTTCTTGAAACATTGTGTTGAATTCCCCATTTGCCTCTTGAACCATTCTCCCCTCTAGAATTAGGTTTTAAATGTTGTATTTATAGTATTTTAAAGTCTTAGAAGGGTTTGAGTCGTGTTGAACCAAGAAAAGAGTCCAAAAAATTCAAAAACCTTTTTTCTTGCCCAGTGGCGCCTCGGCGCCACAATCGTGGCACTGCGGCACCCAGTTGCTGTTGAATTTCAGCAACGGTGGCGCTACATCGCCACTATTGGGCACAATTCGTATGAAAATTTAGCACTTTGTGTCCTTCAATATTTTTATCATATTTTTTTCTACCGGTATCTGATTGAGACGATTCAAGATGTGTTGGAAAAATAACTCTAAGAGCTACAACTTTGCTTCAGATCATTTTCCAATTCGAACATTTTCTATGTCAAAAATGAGTCTTAATATGAAACTAAAATTTCGAAGCATAACTTTTTTGGTTGGAAATTGATGTGTGATCATACTTTGCCTATAATTCATTCATTTGACTTCTTTTTTCATCCAATTGACTCCTAATACTCAAATCTTCTTTGTGAGGTCAAACACAATTTTGGAGTATTTTCACTTTAGTACCCAAACTTTGAATCTCTTACAATTTAGCCATATTTTCCAGTTTTGTCAACTTTTGCTTATTTCCTTCATTTTGATCAACTTATATCACAATATCAAAACACACATTAAAACGTCCTAAATCTCTCTCAAGGATAACAAAATAACGAATTAAATGGCATAAATATCATGTGTAGAACACTCATCACAACAATAGTGCTATTCAAATTGCTGCTAATCCAGTATGTCATAAGCGCACTAAACACATTAAAATGGATTGTCACTTTATTCGTGAGGCTTACGATGGTCGCGTTATTTCTCTTCCATATATCACCAATGATGTTGAGATTGGTGATGGGTTTACTAAGCGATGAAAAGACAATGAAGTCAATTTCTAGCAGCAAATTGATGCTTCTTGATCGTCCAGCATCAATTTGAAGAGGGATGTCAAGGAAGATTGGCGAAGATTATCTAATATTTCTCTACCAAAATTACACAAATAATTGATTATATATTATCGTGATTATGTGTATCATATTTAGGATGCATGTAATTTCTGTTTAGTAGAAGAGACCCAAAACGGGAACAACATTCGGTCAAAAGATTTTACATAAATTTCACCCAGCTTGAATCTGAAATATAATATTTGCTAGTCAAGCCATTCAATCCAGCCTTGTAAGACCACTTGTGCAATTGCTGATCAATAGTCTCAAACTTTCCACATATTCCACTGTACCAAATTTAATCTTGGTCCACAGTTGTGAGGTCCAATGGCTGCACCAAGTGAAGTTATTTGATTATTTCCATGTATCAGTCTGACCAACTTCTCGAGTACATAGTTGAAGACTCCATAGGATGCCCACTGAGAACAAAGATAATCGCCACTGACATAGGAATACAAACTATATCCAGTTGCATTGAAACAAAGGCTCACATTCTTAGTCAAGATAGGATCGCTATATTATCGTTGGACATGCTCACCCATCAAAGAAGTCTGGCTGTCCCTTTGTTGAAATTTCGGTTGCCTTATACTCCTCAAGTTCTCTACAGCCATCAGACATTACTCCCCTCCTGAGAATTACCATTTGTATCAATATGAAAAATTGGAGTATTGAACAATCACTCACCATATCGAAATTTTTTCAACCTCTTCATAATTCGTGTCTAAAAGAGGGGGACCATCTAGTCATCTTCCTGTGGCACCACACAACCTGTACACAAACAAAAGAGGGCCAATGCCACCCTCAAAAATTCCTATGTCATTCCATCTCCCACATAGTCCACCCTACTGCCAACAATCCACGTCGCATATTCATTTTAGGACATTTGCCTTGATGATGACCCAATTCATCACATCTGAAGCACCCGGTACTGCTACTCATAAACCAGTTGGAGGAGCAGTAGTGCGTGACCAACAAGAAGAGGGGCTGATCGTGCTACTGCAGGGGCACCTGGCAAGGGAGTTGGAGGTGCAACTGAAACACTACTAGCAAGCCAAGAGAAGCTGCTGCTACTACTACCCATAGCAAACATTCATCCACCATAATTCGAGGACTATTTTTCGAGCTCAATTGGCTGCTGGTATGATCCAGAAACAGTAGTAATGGAGAATACATTATGATATCCTGGAAATTTAGTTGGAGAGCACCAATATACCTGGAAAAAGTCTGATCTTTGATTCCAATATGTTATTCCAAGCCAAAAGCTGGTAGAATTTGGTTGTATAGAGGCTGACAGAACGAGAACCTTGGCACGGATTCTTAAGGTGCTGATATAGTGTGTGTACGTGTGTGTAATTTTATGGCAAAATGTTGAATTCATGTTCCTATTTAATTTATTCCAAGTAATTTCTAGATTTACCAGAAAAAGAGCGCAATGCCTAGAGCTGCTGCCGCCATGCTACCTCTCGGTCTCTAAATCGAGTTGACACTAACGAAACTTGACGAAACAATCAACTTTCTGAAATAAATAGACATCTCTCCCTCATTTTTGTCAAGAATAATAAATGACAGGCAAGTAATAATCAGGTAAAAAATAGAGGAATGAGTAAAAAAAATTATGCACATGTATAATGATGCAAAAATTATGTAAAAACATGAAATTGGAGAATAAAAACTTTCTAATTTAGAGCCAACTATTTTTTATTTTATTTTTCATAGATTTTCAACTTTATCATCATGAACAGTTATTTGCTTACTTATACCTGCATAGTTCATAAACAAGTAAAATCTTCACCCAATACTTATTTTAAGCCTAGATAGAGTAAATTGTATAAGCTATTCATGTGTGAAAAGTACCTTTAAACTCATGTAAGAAAGTTTCAAAATATTAAATCAATGAGAAATGATGTGCAAAGAATCACCAGTAAATGAATATATTCTTCAAAGTATGAAGTCAAACCCAGTATTACTAGGACCTTTATAAATTAAAGAGCTCATAATTAATTGTATATATTTTTTCTTTCTCCTCCTATATGTAAGCGCATGTGTATGTACATTTTTCTTTTAGTTTTTAAATCTTATGTGCAAATTCTTCTTTGTTAAGCTTTCTACATAACCCCTATAACGAGTTTTAGACCGATGACTACAAAGTCTGATAACTTATAGGGCACAAGGTATTAAGATATCTTGCAGGCTTAATCACTTAAGTCATATAGGCTACGGAGAAAAGTATAAGATTGTCTTACAATATTTTATGTAATTCAAAATTTTTCTTTAAAGCTCAAAAGTATTCTTTCTTTTAAGAGGAATATACAAGAGTTTAGGTCAACTAATTTACATGTCATTCCATATTTAAGGTCAATTCACCACACAGATGTCCGCCATCCGAGATTTCAAATACGCGATCAAAACCCACTCACAGCAGTCTAATGTGTGCAATGCCTAAGATACATGTAATAACATATATCAAGTACTCCAAATAAGTTCTAAAAAAATTAATAGAAATTTAATTTACCATATACGAACTTTGCTAGTACTTGATAGCAAAATAACATGTCCAAAAAATATAGAAAATCTTTTCATTTTTCAATTTTTTTGTTTAAATTTCATTTTTCAAGATAATAAATAAAATGCAAAACAAATAAAAAAAAGTTTAGAGTGCATGCATGAATATTTAGACACCATAAATAATGCAGATGCATGCATCAAACTATCTACTTAATGAGGCATAGAACGCTCTTACCATGAAGAGCACCGTGATCAGATTCACAATCTTTCAGATCACTCTTCTTCACCTAGACTTTTCGAAAAGCAGAGTTAATTCTAGTCAATTGTTTCATCAACTCGGTCAAGTGACTAACCCGATTAGTAAGGGCCAACCCGGTTGGATATATTCTGACTTCTATTTCTTTTTAAGTTTGTGACACCTGTTTTATGTGTCCAGACTCACCACAATTGTGATACATAGGATTAAATTCAGGAATAGCTATAGGTTTCATATTTTGAACCTTAGATGGAAGGAATCTATGTTGTACAAATGATTTTGGTCCTCAGGCACCTACATTCTTGGTCTTATTCCTATTCAAGAGCTCGCGACAATTAGGTTTTTTATGTCCAACCTTACCACAATAGTGATACGTGGGGATGAACTTGGGCTCTAGGTCTCAAGATTTGAACCTTAGGCATCAAAGTATGTACAAACTTATTTGTCGAAGAAGTAGTATGAGAATTGATTTCATTAAAGCCTACACCTCTTCTATTCCCAGTTGGTTTGTTCAAACCTATTATATTATCAATTTTCTTAGATCCATTAAAAAATTTGAAGTTGGGAATTTGATTTTTCAAGTTCACTTGTCAGAGATTTAACATTAACTTCTAAAGACTCTTTCTCAACCCTTAATTCATTCAAACATCTAATCGACTCCTCAAATTTGGCCATAAGGCTCTCTTTTTCTAATTCAAGTGCATTAATATTTTTAAACACGAATTTATTCACTTTCTTAATTTTAAGACTCTCCTCAAATAATTGTTCATAAGCATCCCGAATTTCCATATCACACTCAGATCTCGAATCAGAAATTGATTGACTCATCTAGACAAAATTTTGGGCCAAGCATCGCTATTAACCTCTGGTACAATTTGAAAGTTTTAAATTATTTAGACCCATGTGTGGAATTACACAATTAAAAGTAACAAGTCACTTTTTAATTGTTTCTATGTGGTTAAATCAAACAAGTTAATTTATCCTCATTTTTAATACCACAATTAATAATTAAAGCAATAAAAAACACCAAAGATGATTATGGAGAAACCCCAACTAGATAAAAACTCGAGGTACTTTGCCAATCAATAATCCACTACAAATCAAAGCAAACTTACAGTACAGTCAAAACCAGTCTATCCCGTAGAACTTATGACCTCAATTCATGTAGTCTCACTTGATCCTACAAACAAGCTCCGAATCTTGGTTTATACCTTAGCCTTCATGGACTGCGTGCTCCTGAGACCCCACTCCTAGTACATCACCTTAGTCCTCCTGAATTTGTGCTTCTGCGACATCTCCCAATCCTTGATATTGATTTATTTTCAATGGATTAGGTGGTTTGGTGTTTGATAAAACGATCTTGTGTGTTTTGATTTTGTAGTTTTATATGAAACAATATGGCTTAATCAAAAAAATATGTTCTGGATGAATTTATGAATAAAGTAATATGTGGTGATTGAATCATCGAATCAATCCATATCACACTCAGATCTCGAATCAGAAATTGATAGACTCATCTAGACAAAATTTTGGGTCAAGCATCGCTATTAACCTCTGGTACAATTTGAAAGTTTTAAATTATTTAGACCAACGTGTGGAATTACACAATTAAAAGTAACAGGTCACTTTTTAACTGTTTCTATGTGGTTAAATCAAACAAGTCAATTTATCCTAATTTGTAATACCACAATCAATAATTAAAGCAATAAAGAACACTAAAGATGATCACGGAGAAACTCCAACTAGATAAAAACTCGAGGCACTTTGCCAATCAATAATCCACTATAAATCGAAGCAAACTTACAGCTCAGTCAAAACTAGTCTATCCCGTAAAACTTATGACCTCAATTCATATAGTCTCGCTTGATCCTACAAACGAACTCCGACTACTGGTTTATACCTTAGCCTTCATGGACTGCATGCTCCTGAGACCCCAACTCCTAGTACATCACCTTAGTACTCCTGAATTTGTGTTTCTGCAACAGCTCCCGATCCTTGATATCGATTTATTTTCAGTGGATTGGGTGGTTTTGTGTTTGATAAAAAGATCTTGTGTGTTTTGATTTTGTGGTTTTATATAAAACAATATGGCTTAATCAAAAAAATATGTTCTGGATGAATTTATGAATAAAGTAATATGTGGTGGTTGAATCATCGAATCAATTAATGTTTTGGATTTTCAAATGAATGATCTCTATGGAATAAATATGATTCAACACACTTTTGAATGTTCATTGTGTATGATATATACAGGGGAAAATGTTTGGGATGAAAAGGGATTAAAAAATCAAGTGTTTGAAGCAAAATAGATTTTCTGAACATCGACCTATCACTCAAGAGTCAAGCTAGCGGCAGGCGAGCAGCAGTTGAGCAGTCGTCAATATTTTTATCATTACTTTCTCTTCCAATGTCCGATTGAGGCGGGGATGACAATTCGAACAATTAAAATCGAAAATCGCGGTTAACTGAATGGGGCGAAAAAAAGGGAATCGATGGTGCAATGGGATGGTTATGGTTTTGATTTTAATGACCCGGTTCGGGGTGGGACGAGTATGATATTTAGCGACGGTGCCTCGCCTTGGACCGATTACCCGTTAAAAAAATTAATTGAACAATTGGACTTTCCATTATTCTTTTCCAAAATTAATTGGGCAATTTTGACAATTGGACTTCTCCAAAATTCTGGCTCAATTAATATTACTAGTAAACTCTTAACTTAGTAACTTAACTCTAATCCTGCACGTTAAAATTGAAAATTGGAAACCAAACTTACAAAACATTCGTCCACTCAACCAATGAACCAAATCAGATCTGCAAGTGCTCTGCTGCCTGTACCTCAACTTCAAATTGTAGTAATCAGCAACAAAGTCTACCATCTTGTGAGCACACTCCCTGAGTTGTTCTACGTCCATTGGCTTCAAACCATCTTCCTTGTACAATTCAACAAAACCCAGCTAAGGGTGGATGGTTTTGATTTATTGACATGGTGAAAAGCAAGTTCAATAAAATATCTGACTTTACAGAAGGTTGCTAGAGATTTATTAGCCATTACAGTATCTACTGTGGCATCTGAGTCAGCGTTTAGTACAAGTGGTAGATTTGTAAGTCCACATAGAAATAAGCTTCACCCGAAGACTTTAGAAACTTTTATGTATACTCGGGATTGGCTTTGGACTGATATTCATAGGAGGATTTATTGTTTTATATTTGTCATTCAAGCACTTTCTTTTATTGTTAATTTTTTTCTCTATTGTGCGTAGAAAATTACGTTCATTCATCATACTCCGGAGCTTGTACAAGGTTTAGTGAGGAGGACATTGACGAGGAGGTACATTTTTTTGTTTAAATCTTCACTTAAGACCATTCTTGATTAGGTAGTATGGTTGTATTATTACTCTAATTACTTTTCTTATTTACTATATAGGAATAAACTTTGAGTCATGACTCTTGACCTATGCTAGTAAGAGTTGTGGGAAAGAATGAAGATTGACATATGATAGTGAGAGTATTGACCTATGTTGATAATATTGTTCGTTAAATTTGAATTTTGCATTTGAAAGTTGGGGTATTGTTTGCATTTTCATTTAGGATATTGTTTGCTGAATTGGCTTAGTATTGTATTTTTGTTTTTATTGACTTTTCTTCATAATTTTTTTTTTCAATTTGACGGTTGGAGTTTGGACTTATAAAAAATAATTTATTTTTGTGGTTATTAATCGAACCAAACCGAGATAAAAATCGAGCCGAACCAAACCGACTTACGTGGTTATGGTATGGCCAAAAATTTGGTGGTGCGGTTATGGTTTTGGCCGAACCCACCCCGAACCGTACCGTTGCCGTCCCTAGATTGATGTGATTCAAAATGCGTTAAAAAGATAATTCAAAGGGATACAATTCTTATAGAGGTAACCTTGTCCAAATTTCAATGTTTTCTATGTGAAAAATGTGTTTCAAGTTGCGATTGAGAATTTGGAACATAACGTGTGCGGCTCTTTGACATTCTTGAAACTTTTAATTGCATTTCCTTAATCATATGTGATCTTCTTAGACATTTTGGACTCTTTCCAGGATTATACTCCTAACCCCAACTCTTTTGACTTCAATTAGGATTTAATATATAACTCATATTTTGACTTTGATTAAAACTCGATAAATTCCTAATACAATTCAAGTAGACTTGATTTTGACTAAGAAAATTGTCAATTACATAATTTGGTCTTAACAGATTATCTATTTGATGACTTCGTCCATTTGTTCATTTTCATCTATAAGTTTTTTATTAGTGGACTTTGTGGACAAATTCCTATGGAAGTAGCAATTTTAATACGTGAAGTGTATTACTCAAGGATTATGTGGGACTTATTCAACTAGAAGCGACACTGGCAGGTTTTAACATGCGTCATCTTTTGATTGACTCGAAATCTATTTTCTTTCCATCTTTTTGTATAAGCATTTTTATATCTAACGTTTTGTCTTCAAGCAATGATGGTATATCTACTTCCTCAAGCAGGCAGAAAATGAGACAAAAAATGAGAAAGTTACTAAAAACGTGTATTTTTCTAGACTGTGTAGTCTCTATCAATAGCCCCACGACCCCACCTGTATTAAATCATGAAAATGCCCTCTATGAAAGGAAATAATGCATTTCGCAATATAAATTGATATTCAATGCCCTCAAACTATCAAAGCTAATAAGCCTTATTCTTCCTTGCATTCTCTAAATAAAAAACTGTATTTGCCATGGCATTTTCTTCCACCTTTGGTTTTTCAGTGAAACGTTGTAAGCCTGAATTGGTGGTGCCTGCGAAGCCTACACCACGTGAAATAAAGAAACTCTCCGATATAGATGATCAAGAAGGTTTACGGTTTCAAGTTCCGATAGTGTTTTTCTATAAAAACAATCCTTCAATGAAAGGGATAAATCCAGTTGAAGTTATTCGAGAAGGACTTGCGAAAACACTGGTTTATTATTATCCCTTTGCTGGGAGGATTATGGAAGGAGACAACAGAAAACTTATGGTTGATTGCAATGGCGAAGGCGTTTTGTTCGTAGAGGCTGATGCATATATCAGGCTTGAGCAGCTTGGGGATAACATATTGCCGCCATGTCCGTTTATGGAAGAGTTTCTGCACGATGTACCTTGTTCTGGAGGGATCATTGGCTGCCCTCTTTTGTTGATTCAAGTAAGTACCAATTCATCTAAAAGTTCTTGATTTAAGTCGAGTAACAAACTTCCAGCTTTTAATCCATGAAATTTCAGCTTTTGGTTTCAAAAATTTTATGCTTCCAACATTCAACCTTGTGCAACATTTATTTAAATCAAAAGTTAAACGCTAGACTGGAAGGACCAAGAAAAGATCAGGAAAATATTTTTCTAAATATTTTTTTCTCCTTTTTCTTCTTGAATTCGACCCCTGTAGACCAAAAAGTTTAATCCAAATTTAAGTTTAATTAGGTCATAATTGGTTGAACTAAAGAAGTAGTTCCCAAAATTTAATCCATGTTTGGCCTCATTAAAATTATAATTCTTTTTCTCTTTATTCTTATCAACCACACATTTTTTAATAAAATAATATTACAAATAATTTCAAAACTTTTTCTTCTTTTTCAACCACATATTTTTCAAAAAAATACTATTCCAACAAGTTAAATCCATCAATCGCCACCCAACTTTATACTTGTGTCACCATGGTCATCGCAATTTATATTTAGTATCATCATAGTCACTCAATTTGATTTTTTTTCACCATGGCCACTTAATTTCATGTAACGCTTCACCTTGGACACCCAATTTTTTTCACCATTTTCACTAATTTTAAAAAAGGTAAAATGATAACTTTGAAATAATTTTTTTGTTTTATTTAAAAAATATTTTTTAAATATTTTTTTATTTTATTTTATTTTTTGAAGGAATGTTTTTTTTAAAATAAGTTTTTATTTTATTTTATTTTTTTAAGTAGCTTTTTTCAAAATTGGTTTTAATTTTGAAAAAGAAGAAGGTAGCCTCAATGTTCAGCCACCAAGGCTAAAGAAGGAGGAAGAAAATGGATCACCAAAGAAAAATGCACAAAGCCAAAGCACAAAGCAAACACGTGAATCAATTTTCTCTTCTCAATGGAAATGACTTCCCTCAATTTCACACACGCTTCAACTACAGTAATGGGGCAAAGTATATATAGGTACCAAGTATGGGCTTTTAGGTTAGAACATAGTTAGGCCCAATATTAAATAATAGGGCTACCACCGAAAAGCCAACTAAGGTAATGGGTCGGGCCATGAGCAATACTAATTTAATTAGGTTACTTCAAATAGCTGGAATAAGTGTAGGAATGGTTTGTTCGATTTTGGTGTTGATATTTCACTTCACTCATCGGCCGAGACCTACGAAGTATAATCTAATAAACCGGTTTAACATCATTACCCAGATTTATTGGGTATCAAAACCACCAACATTTACTTTTAATGGCTTACAATAAGCACTTGAAATTTATGTTTTAGAATCTTATGGGTGATATTAAGTAGCTTATAAGTACTGAAATGAATTATTTAAATTAATCCTAAATGCAGGTAACCAGATTCATTTGTGGTGGATTTGCTTTGGGAATCCGATTGAACCACACTATGGCAGATGCTTATGGGATGATGCAATTTCTAAATGCTATTTCTGAATTAGAGAAAGGTGAATATGCACCTTCAATTTCACCTGTATGGCAAAGAGAACAATATTTGAATGCAAGATCTCCCCCAAGAATTACATGCATTCACCATGAATATGAACAAATACCACAATCCCCAGACTTTATGGATTCGGATAAGCTAATTCGGACTGCCATTTTCTTTACTCCAAAGGATATACAAGCACTATATAATCATCTATCCTCGTCCAGAAGTTTTCGAAGGTGCTCAAGATTTGATCTGATAACAGCATGCTTATGGAAATGTCGTACGAATGCACTGAATCCATCTGATCCAGATGAGACTGTTCGTCTTTCAGTCTGTATCAATGTGCGTGGCAAGCAAGGCCTGAATGTACCGACTGGATACTACGGCAATGCTTTTGTTTATCCGGCAGCAGTATCCACAGCCNACCTGCTGAATGCAGGGAAGAAGAAGAACTTTTCATTCAATCTTACTTAAGGAAATTACAATGCAATATATTCTATTTATAGATAAAATAGCTAACAAACTATCTAACAAACATAAGAAGAGACTAGAAGAAGCTAGAAAGAACTGAATTAAATTGGTTTGCTGTGCTATTGAACTGGTTTTGACGTTGCACATGCTGCCTGGAGGTGATCTGCTGTGCTACTGCAATTCCATGGTGATCTTGGTGGAATATTCCAACACTCTTCCGTCAAGATGAAACATTTTGAACCGTAGAGAGAGGAGTAGAGATGTAAACAAGGTAAAATCAAGGAAGTTTCGAATCAGTTTCATTTTCTTCAATTCCATTTCATTTTGAGCTAATGGAGTTTTGTGATTAGTAGACACCTCGTCTGCCTTTTAACAGTTAATCTTCCTTCTCTTTTGAGAAGGAATATCTTCAAAAATCTTTATCATCATAGACACTTTGTCTGTCCTTTTTTTTTCTGTTTTCTTCAAAAAATCTTCATTACTTCCATCAAATTCAGAAAATAATATCAATCTGAGAAGCCTGCCATTCCAGTAGGTTTCATCTTCAATTTGTAGTTTCAATTTCGTTTTTGATTCTCTATCTGGGAATAAATCATCCATTGTTGTGAAGCTTCCTGGGAAGCCCCGTTTTCAATGAAACAATTCCTTGTTTCGAATCATCTTCATTTTCATTTTAGTTTGATGAAGATGAATAACATCTCTTTAGTTTTCATCCATTCCGACATTTAATCGAGCATCTAGTGAGCCAAGTCACTTTCCTGTGTTCTGGTAATTCTGTGTTGCTGATTTTAGGAATTTTTTTTTGTTTTGATAGATTTAATTTAGAAATGATAAAGAAGAAGATGAATTGCAGATGGAAGGATTAGAACCTGCTTTGATACCATGATAAAATCAAGGAAAGGATATGAGATTTGAAGCTAACATTAAAGGAACTAAAAACTAACAGAGACCGATCAAGGAAAGGTTCTGAAATTGAAGTTGAAATTATTGAACTAAAACTAATAGAGAAAAATGACAGAAGCCAGATAGACCTGCTGAATGCAGGGAAGAAGAAGAACTTTTCATTCAATCTTACTTAAGGAAATTACAATGCAATATATTCTATTTATAGATAAAATAGCTAACAAACTATCTAACAAACTAACAATATAACAAACATAAGAAGAGACTAGAAGAAGCTAGAAGGAACTGAATTGAACTGGTTTGCTGTGCTATTGAACTGGTTCTGATGTTGCACGTGCTGCCTGGAGGTGATCTGCTGTGCTACTGCAATTCCATGGTGATCTTCGTGGAATATTCCAACATAAATCTCCATACGAATTTTCCCTTCATTTTTCATACCATCTTTTTCCCTCTTTTTTCCAATATACAATCATTGGAGGTTATCTGGGAGTTAAGGATGGTTACAGGAAGTTGCATGTTTGAACTTCAAATTCAAACCACTCTCTCCAACCCTTTTAATAACTTGTGGGTCGGGTCATCCCACATGGGCGACCCACGACCCGTATTTTTCTAACACCTATTTTAGTAGGAAAAAGAGGAAGACAATGAGGATGCAATACTGATGATTTTGGGATCTTTAGGTAGTTCAATTATGATTATGACGAATAGACTTATAATGACAATGTTAATTATGATGGAACTTATTTGTTTGGAATTCAAAAGAGGTCTGCGTGATTTTTGTAGAACATCATGTTTTCTACATTTATGATCTGCATTAATGCAAGAAACTGTGCATACAATGATCATAGTACGAGGGTGGTTGGTTATTGGACCCCACATTCTACAGGTTTGGGACATCTTTCTTTTAAGAGGCCGTGAGAATTTGAATTCCCCTGGAGGCGGGGTACTGTGAAAATAAATTGATTTTGGATTACTAATTACTCTAAAATGGATTATTATTGGGTCAATGCTTAGGCGGGTATTACTTTAAAACGGCATAAAGCTCTGATCATTTCTCTTGCTAGCTATGGGTTATAATTTAGAAGAGATATTGATTAAGAATGACTAATGAAGAAATGAATGGTTAGCACCAATAAAGAATGACCTCGATATAGGAGTTGATCTGTGATTTCTTACGATGGGAGCTACTTCCAATTTCTAGGTCTAACGACTAAAGCATTCATGCAATGTTTCTACTGCATCATAATCCAGAGACTGAACCATTATTCTGATGGAAGATTGAGATCTTGTTTCTTTTATACTATATGTATTAAAAAGCGCAATCTTTTAATTTTTATGTGGTAGATTGGAAAGATATTATTGATTTGATTCTTCTTTTATGGTACGATTTAATCATTTTTCAGATGTTATATTATTAAGTTCCATGCCCATATTATTTGGTTTTTCGATTTATTTAAAATGGATTTTTTTTAATCCTATTTGTTGCAATTTCATCAATATGATAACATTTCGACATTTTGTGCATCTTGCCATATTATGTCTACTTTAATTTTACAATTTTGTTGATGTCATTTGGCTCATGTTACTGCAAAGTTTGTGAATGGAAAACCATAGGCAGATTGATAGCAAATGGAACATGCTCTACTCAAAAAGGATTGTATTACACCACAAACAAGTCCTACCAACAAAAGTATTATACCCCAACACTTCATCAAACCAGTACAAAATCAACCAGAAATGATATTTATAAGCCAACATAAATCACCACAAATTTAAAAGATTAAAATAGCACTATGTGTTAATGCTTTAGACTGACTGAATTCATCAGAAATCTCAGATACATTACTTACTTTTCAACATCAAAAAGGGCCTAAAAAAAATTGAGGCTGACTTCAAAAAATTTCACATAATGTTTCCATTTGCTCATGTCCCAGAAAGCCTCCTAGCATTTGCTCTTACTGCTCTTGATCTGGAAGACTGAGGCAAACATAGATGTAAATTCATCATCCATTTGTTGAAGTTCGATTTGTTCAGTCACCACTAATGTCACATTTTTTCGAAGAGCATGTCCTCTTCACCAAATGATATGTCGCTATCCGAATCATTGAAATTTGGGTCATCCTCAGTATCTGTCACAAAAACCAGGAAATTTAGGATTGGCCAAAAAGTGTGAAATATGAACTCTTCTGGCCACTTTAACAAAAGTTATACTTCTAAACATGTAGCGAAATATGAACTCATGTGGCCACTTTACAAAAATATGCTTCTAAACATGTTTAAGTTTTGTATGTTTTGTATTGATGAAACAACTGAAATGGGCACCTTAAAGATTTATCAGAAACTTCAAGCTTCGATTATAGTTTGTTGAATCATAATCTGTAAGTTAATGCATATTTTGAAAAGATTAAACAACCTAAAATCTTAGCATGTGTCCAGATTACCGTGAAGCCCATTCTTTGAAACAACAAAATAGTTTGGAATTGACCTTGATGTTCTCCTCTTCAGAAATTAAAGCTTCTTGTTGATGGTGGGACCTTCGATATTGATTGAATTTTGGTTTGGGGGTTAGGGCTCACCGATTTGGTGAGATGCAATTAGCCTGGAGAGTTTTGGTTTTGGTTTCAATCTCACGCTTTTAGTTTCTTATGGCTAAGGCATGTTTGGATTGACGAAAAAATTATGTGGCATTTCATTTATGAGTTGGACTGATTTAACGTGTCACATGTAATCGTTATCCACGTAAGTCATGTTAACTAATAGAAGCTAGTCGGTGAGTAATGGAGTGCAACTTCATAAAATTAATTGAGTAATGAAGTACAAGTCAAAGTACAGTGAGTGAAACATGACGTTATGCAAAATCAGTAAGTATTCAAACAATTAACAAGACTATAGCTAACATAAATCCCAACCCATTCACTTGTCACTACCAGTTGCAGGTAAACCCTCTCCTTTTCACTTTCTTTTCTTCTTCTTCTTCTTTGTTCTCATGCTTCTATTAAGGTTTAACAAATCATCTTCCACGTACAACTGATTTTAGCATGAATATATATATAATTTACGGCAATCTGAACTCTCTCTATTTTGGTAGTTAAGTCGTAGAAAATGCGAAGAACAACGTCGTATGTGAGGCTGGTTATTATTCGAGTAGTTATTGCCTTGATAAGAGCCACGTTGGTTTCTATTCTGATTATTGGTGTAGTTGTTGCCTTGATAAGAGCCTTGTTGAATTCTATTCTGTTAGTTGAAGTTCTGGGCTTTCTTCCAATTCTTGTTGTGGACCTTGTGGTGGTTATTTTTGGACTTAATTGTATTTCTGGCTGAACTGAGCAGTAATAGGAGTGGTTTCCGTGCTTCATTTTTGAGAAAGCTTTCATGATCAACAAGCTTATATTGAAGCTCTTCAAATGAAATTGCTTTGTCTTGAGCACGGACAGCGAACCAGCAAGAATAGAAATACCAAGCTCATCTTCGTTTACAGGTGAGCCGGCAATGGCAAGTTCATCTGAGATAGGCGTGATCTTGCACATATATTAATATTCCCCAACAGTAGAGTTCTCCTTCGTGGTTCTGATCAACATGTTGCGAAGACTGTGCGACGTTGAGAGTTATTCACATATGTGGTGTTAAGTTTATCCCAAATGGCCTTGGCAGATTTGGCTGATGATACCAGTGGTGCGATGGTATCATCGACAGTGTCCAAAAATCCATGACGAAGCAGACTGTCGTGATGCATCCAGAGTTTAAACTCCGGGGTTTGTGGAGGTGATGATATTAGTGGTGAACTCCTTTAATGAACAAGGTGTAGTGCCATCTATTTATGTAGTGTAGCCCATTAAATCATACTCATAAAGAAGAGTATGAAACTGGGCTCGCCAAGTTGGATATAGTTTATAGGGACAGAGTTCAAGAGGAAGTTGGGCAGCTGCATTGATCAAAACGAGTGTATTTGAGAGAGCATGACCACAAGCCATAAATGATGTTGTTGTGAGTGGGTTTCGGACTGAGGAATGGCTAAATTTTCTGCCATTTTTGTGATCTTGCAAATGAAAAACAGAATCAGAGAGAGAGAGAGAGAGAAGAATTTTGCAGCTTATGGGAAA